CAGCTTTTTCAGCCGAGTAAATTAATTGAATAAACGAATATTTACCTACTTCTTTCATTAATAAATCGCAACAAGATTGCTCATTCTTAAATTTAATGAAATTGTTGATTCAAATTAATGTTGATAAAAATGCAACCGTGTGCCACAATCCTGCTTGCAAATTCTNCTATTCTACGCTGGTAATAAAAAGTTTAGGAGTGTTCGCTATGCAACTGCCAGTAATAATTAGCTAGTAACAAAATTCAGAGAATAAGGTACCTTACTCTCCCAAAGAGAGAAACTTACTAGGTTTTGCGCGAACAGGAATTAGCAAACATTTGCAAGCTTCACTGCCAGCTGGCGTCCACGGTTGCATTTCGACCATAATAGCTCTGATCCAATACTTTTCGTGAAAAATCCTGTAAAACTGTCAAAGAGCAAAATTACTCTCTGAAGTGAGCGTAAAAAGTGAGTAACAACAAAAAGTACGGGAACAAAAAAACAATTTTTCCTGGAAAAACGTCAACCAGTGATTGCTTGACACTTTTCATGGTTTTACCAGAAGAAAAGGTTCGGGTAAAATCTTGCAACTTAATTCTCTACACAACTCTCCAAAAGTTGCTCTCATTTACAGGATTTTGGAGTACGGGAACATTTTTCCTGCAACTTCCTGCAAGTTCGTGTAAAATCCTGTAAGTTCATGGAGTACTGGATCAGAGCTAATAATTTTTGTAATTATTTCAGGTAGAAACCAAAACAGGACCTATACGTATATTTCTTCTTATTCTGACTTTCTTCAACATACGATTCAATTTCTTTGTGGAAGTCACTGTCGGATTTCCTATACCGACAGTGGTTCGAGTGCGTTCCGATTACAGCTTTTTCAGCCGAGTAAATTAATTGAATAAACGAATATTTACCTACTTCTTTCATTAATAAATCGCAACAAGATTGCTCATTCTTAAATTTAATGAAATTGTTGATTCAAATTAATGTTGATAAAAATGCAACCGTGTGCCACAATCCTGCTTGCAAATTCTTACTGGCAAAATTTTTCCCATTATTTTATTCCAAATTGTGGGAGATGCTTGAACCAATCTGCTTGAGGAATCCAGCCACTATGTGGTACGAATTATTTTCTTTGCTTTTAAAAAGTTCTTCTAATGTGTTATTTTCGTTCAGCCCCAGATATTGGATCCTTTTTGCATCGTGTTTAGCGCATTTAAATATTATGTGTTCTGGAGTGACTGGAACATTACAAAGCTCGCAGTTTTCATCCTCTGTAACTTTGAAAGTCGCTAATGTATTATTGCAGAAAGCATGTTCGGTTAAAACTCTGTTAAGCTGTTTGATTTCAAGTGCGTTTAATTTGAAATTGTCTTCGAACCATGGTTTATTTTTAATGATTTGAAAGATTTTTCCATAGTTTTTGACTTTTTGTGTGATTTTTTGTTGATACGCGATTTGCCATTATTGCGTTATNGAATGCAGCTTTTTAAGCCGAGTAAATTAATTGAATAAACGAATATTTACCTACTTCTTTCATTAATAAATCGCAACAAGATTGCTCATTCTTAAATTTAATGAAATTGTTGATTCAAATTAATGTTGATAAAAATGCAACCGTGTGCCACAATCCTGCTTGCAAATTCTTACTGGCAAAATTTTTCCCATTATTTTATTCCAAATTGTGGGAGATGCTTGAACCAATCTGCTTGAGGAATCCAGCCACTATGTGGTACGAATTATTTTCTTTGCTTTTAAAAAGTTCTTCTAATGTGTTATTTTCGTTCAGCCCCAGATATTGGATCCTTTTTGCATCGTGTTTAGCGCATTTAAATATTATGTGTTCTGGAGTGACTGGAACATTACAAAGCTCGCAGTTTTCATCCTCTGTAACTTTGAAAGTCGCTAATGTATTATTGCAGAAAGCATGTTCGGTTAAAACTCTGTTAAGCTGTTTGATTTCAAGTGCGTTTAATTTGAAATTGTCTTCGAACCATGGTTTATTTTTAATGATTTGAAAGATTTTTCCATAGTTTTTGACTTTTTGTGTGATTTTTTGTTGATACGCGATTTGCCATTATTGCGTTATCAAACTGTGGATGTAGTTTACCGGTCCTGGATTGTCCAGCACACCTGCAGTAATTATCCCGAATTCTCTGCATTTTTCGCCCCTGCATCTACTTGCTCATTGAAGCTAATCACCCCTATCCCAGTAGATAATTTCAGGAGTAAAAAGCCCTTCCAGAAGGCCCTCCTGGGAGTCAAGAGGGCTTCCACTTAACATTCCCTCTTCCTTTCTTTTTTGTATGGAGTGGGACAAATTGAAGGGCTTCTGCTTCCGCTACCCATAAAAGGGCTTCCACAAGTGCTTTTGTAGGACGCACCACTGAAGGCCTTCTTATTTCGCTACCTACAGAAGGGCTTCCAGATGGGCGTTTGGAAGACGTACTTCAGAAGGCCTTTTGAAGCAGTTCTTCTAAAAGTGCTGCTTTAGTTAAAAAAAAAATACATACTTCTGTAAGGTTTCGAACCAGTTTTATTGCAACTCGAAATGTACTTCACATTCGTTTGTAACGCTAAGGCTTATTAGCTAAAAAGTATTAACTCATACAAAGAAATTCATTTAATATAAAAAATTTGGGTATTGCAATTAGGTATCGTTGAATTCATTGAGATCAAAAAAGTAAAAATCAACGCTTATAAAAGTAAATATTAGAATTACTTAGGAAATTAAAGGTCAATTAAATACTTTGCTTCTTAAGCAAATGAGTTGCTTTATATTGTCGACTTTTGCTTAATTTAAATCCGCTTTTCCTTTCGGATCGATATTGCTCCCGCATTGTCACGTCTTCGGCAGCGTCTGAAATATTGAGAAGGAAAAAAATCATTTTAAAACCTTAACTACGCTAAAAATAAGGATTAACGTAANAGCTCCCGCATTGTCACGTCTTCGGCAGCGTCTGAAATATTGAGAAGGAAAAAATCATTTTAAAACCTTAACTACGCTAAAAATAAGGATTAACGTAATCTGTTACTACGTTTATCGCACGCATTATTTGCAAAATGGTAAACTTTGGTATAAACGCTGAGTTAATTTTTTATTTGCAAATAACTAAATCACGCAAATAAGTATTGATTAGTGGTGCTATTTGCATATAAGCGGAAGACACTGCCATTCTTAGGTTAATTTTGTTTTTCGATGGGCATCTTATTGCCTTTTTATAATCAAGACATTGCCATTTTTAACTTTATTTTCCTATTCGATGGTCATATTATTGCCTTTTTATAATCAGACAATATTAAAAAAGAATTTTTCACCATCGAATGAACAGTGAGTTAGGTATTTGCAAATTATTTTTAATTGCAAATAGCTTACGTATAAACGTAGTATGTATGTACTTACTAAAAAATATATTGTTAAGCTCAGCTAAGTTACGGAAAGCCTTTTTCCCCTGCATGCCATCATAATTAAAAGATTTTATTATCTCGGGCCCCAGGAGGCTCGACAAATTTCGCTTCAAACCGCCTTTTTTCATCATCCTATAAGATACATGTAGTAGTAAATATTCATGATACATTTCCTCGCCTACAATACCTTTTAAAACGACTAAGCCCGAATAAAGGGCAAATTGCCGGAACTCTCCATCAACAAATTTCATTTAGCGATCGCGGTTTCCTTTGAAATTCCCTGGGGATGAAGGGAGCAAGTGAAATCAACTTAGTTGACATAAAATTTGTGTCGTTAGTCCCAATTTTTTTTAACGGTTTTTAACTTTGCGAACTGCTTTTATAGAGCGGAATATCATCTACTCCTATATCAAAAGTTATTGAATTTTCTTCTGGCAGAAACTCATGTGGAATTTTTTCTAGTTGCTTCAAACAACCTATATGGCAATAGCTTCCCGGTGACACTGTCCTAAAAAAACACTTTCTGAGCAATTTTTATTTTTTAAAAGTGTTTTTATGTGGGTAGGGACTGCCAAACTCTCACAGAGCTTAAAATTTTGAGCAATGCATTTGCACTTGCGCATGTCGGATTGTACTGATTGCACCATTTAATTAATTTACCGCTATGGCAATGGATTCACAAAAGTATGCGGAGCTGTCGGGCATAGTAACCATGGGCGCATCTATGTCAGCTTCTGGTTGAATTGTTGAACCACAAGCCAGAACTCCTCCTATGCCTAAAGCTCTGGTTCTCAATCCAGTTAATGCAATAACAGCTTCTTCCAAGCCATTGAAAACATGCACTTTGTTAGGTCCACCACCTGTTGCGCTTGCTTTTGCTTTCGGCCGCGCTTAGGGATTATAACCAGTGTTGCCAAGTTTTGCATTTGAAAAAGCACCGAAACCCAAGAAAAATCGCGTTTTTTCTCGAAAAGTTTTTTATTGGAGGATTTAGTGGACTCTATATTCATACAAAATTTTATTGTAGGTATGCTGATTCAAAGTAAGAAAAATTAATGTTTTTTGCTTGGAGGTCGAATTTATTCTGTTTTCTATAAATTCAAATATTTTCGTCCGAATGACGCGACGTAAACACTTCAATTATTATTTTCCAATTTTCAGCTGTGCCCAGCTTTGCCGTTTCGCTTAGATTTGCGCTGTTTGAATATAAATTTTTCTTCGTTTTGCTTAATTTTTTTTAAATTCCTATCAAACGAAAGTAACAACAAAAAATGAAGTTTCATGAACTATGTGGAAGTATAAATATACACTGTAGTCTCTTAACATCAGGTGAACTAAAGGAACGTAAAGAACTTTTCTCTCCGACCGCTTCACACCTGAAACATAACACAATTGTATTTCCCTTTTTAAAGTGTCTTATTTGAACACGTTCACCGACGCATAGTGGAAAAAATCTTTTTGTGTAAAAAAAGCTGCCTACTCGATTACTCCTTTTTAAAAATGTTCGCTTTTCATTTTACTGTTAGGAGATGCTAGTGCTTTTTTAATATTCGTAAAAAATATAACAAATTCAGACCAAACTAAAGGTCAAAGGATCGATTTCACGTTCCAGAAAAATTGACGTTTTTGCAGGCAATGGCAAATTACTGTATGTAATTCTGGCATGAATGAAAGTGCTGCCACATATTTTTTTGACAAACATATGCTCTTTCGCTTATGATTGTCATTGTGCCATTTCCATTTTTGTAAAGCTCCTTACGAAGCTTCTAATTGCTGTAAATTTAACTTTTTTGATTAAGATTTATAGTTTTGGTGTCTTCAAACTAAATAAAAAAGCACTAACAAACGCACCAAGCACCAAACTCAAAAATTTTCGCGTTTTGAATTAAGAAAATCACTAAATTTAGTGCGAAAAGCATTAAGTTGGCAACAGTGATTATAACCCTTACTAAGTAGAATTCTCCTTTCTGTGTTGCGGGGAAGAGGGGCTTCCGCATGTCAAAGGTATACAATATTTCTTGTGCATATCACATCGAAATTTGCAAAAAAGTGCGTAGTGCAAACCGAATTTATTAATAATTTGAAACATTTATTTTAACTCAAGATTTAATCCTTTGATTACACGTGTATGTTAAAGTTTTTGGATTCGGGTTATGGTGCATTTACATGGTATGAATGTGTTCATAAGCCGTATGAATTTTCCTATAAAAGAAGCACCAACTCTATGAAGAAATGAATGAAAGCGATATATATTTAACAATTTTGACTTACATACTTGGCAAGTATCAAGGCGAATTTATAAGGTGGTGTTACTAGCTCAGCTGATTTTGTGTAGTGTTTCGCCGCACGGCTTCTGATATCAAATTGAAAAATTTTGTTTGAATTTCTACACACACTCTTACAGATTTTGACAGTTTATGCCGCCAAAGCAAAAACAAAATACATGTAAATTTTTGTTTTTGTACTCCTGCTATCACCTTACATTAATTCGCCTTGGCAAGTATTTTTTTGTACACAACAAACAAAAAAATTTCATTTTGTGCTAACTTCGAAACTATGTAGAAGCTTATTTTTTTATGTGCTTTAAAAAGGACCTACTGCCAATAAAGCCTTGCGGTTTGCCATATTTTCAAATCTGTAATGCTTCCATTCAAACATCTTTGTGGATAAATAGCTTTTTGTTCAGAAATTGCTTGTTTACGATTTTTGTCTTTCATATTAAAAACGTTTGGCATAAGTTGAAATCATAGGGATGCCGTTTTCTTTCGTTTATCAATGGATTTTATACTTGAAAAGGAACCACAATATGTATGCAGAACTTTTAAATATCGTCATTTTAAGAACAAAACCGCGCATCAAGAAAATATAAAACCTTGTATGTGAGGTTGCCTAAATTTTACAGGATATTTAAGTATAAATGGTTAAGGGCTTGATGATAGGAGCTTCCGGTGAGCAAATATCTTTTTTGGCACAAATGTCAGTTACGAGGTTTTGCAGAACCACGATACGCGCTTTTGTACTTTAAACAACGATATACATATTGGCGCTTACACAATATGTTAGTGTTTGGCCTAGCTTCTCCTCCGATACTCCGAACGGCAATTGTATTTTTATGAGAAGCTGTTTCCATGACAGAATACACTCGGAGGTTTACTATACCCAGCAGAGGGGCGACCGCTATTAGAAAAAAACTTTTTTGGTTTTTATATTTTGATGTTGGTGGGAAACTCGGCTTGAACTCAGGCGCTGCGTAATGGTAGCGCTCACTGCTAATAACTACTCTACAGCAGCCGTGGCTACTTTTACATATATTGCTGGTATATTCAAAATACTATCCCAAACATCGGAGTGTATATATATAATATAAAAAAGAATGAGAGGTACTATAAGAAAATGTACCCAAAATTCAGGAGCAAGTGCAAGCATAAGACCATAAAATGTTTGTTTGTTTCGTTGATTCACCTAACCTTTTANAAAAAATGTTCATTGAAAATAACTCACATATATAAATTAAAAAATATAACTTAAGCGGTTACAGCGCAAAACAAAAGGAAGAGTTAGAAAAAATAGCAATGCGGAAGGAAACATAAGACCATAAAATGTTTGTTTGTTTCGTTGATTCACCTAACCTTTTAAGATATGACACTCCATTCTTTGCATAAGTTTGCAAATATGCACTTATTGTTCTACAATGGCAAACATTTTCGTAGGATGTTTTTCTTTAATCTGGAATTGAAAATACATTACGATCATATTGTTCCGAAATAAGTGTGGTATCCCTGCATTTTGTAAAAGCCAAAAAGAACCATCAACTGTATGAAAAAATGAAAGGGAAAGGTATACATGCCTTCTATAATTTTGACTTATATGTATATTTGGCAAGTCTTTTTGTAAACAACAAAAAATACACATTTTCATTTCTTTACCAGCTTGGCCAATATAGGCTTATTTTTACTTAAATGTGATATAAAGCTCATTAAACTGTTGTGTGATGTCTTGTTATTATAGTGCTTTGTATTTTTATTGCCCACAATACGTGAGTTGCTTCTATTGAAAAAGATCTAGTACAAATAATCTTTTGTTTTGAAATTGTTTGTTTATTGTTTTTAATTTTTAAAATTCCTACTTTTGACATGTATGTGAATGGCGGAGTTGCCGATTTCCTCCTTTTCGGTGAGTTTTATATTAAAAAAGGCATCAAAACGGGGAAAACCGGGTACTGTTTAGTAAGTGGCCCACCTATTTCGGGGTATTGCGTCCAAAGGGGTGACCCGATCCAAAAAAAATTGCACACACTTGTAGCCAAGGGTCTACCCATTATTTTAACATCCACTATTGTAATTTTTGGTCACTAATTTATTTATAAATTGGGTTTGAAATATGCCCTTTTTTTGTAAAATTCGGAAATTAGCGTACATTTATCACTCCTATTTTCCTTAAAGCAGCCACTTCACCAATGCATTTTTATATTCCCCTTCACTTTAAACTTTATTCGACTTGTTACAACTTTCTTTATTACTTTAATTTTAACCTATCAATCACAATTTATTAAATAAAAACACCTTCAAAACCACGCGTCTGCCTTTGGTTGCATATGCAAATTAAATGGCGGCGTTTAGCTGTCAAACTGCTAAATATACAAGAAGGATGAGAGACAAAAGAAAATATGATATAACCCAGTCAGCCCCCTTTCTTTGGCAACACAGAAGAGAATTCTACGTAGTGAGGGTTATAATCCCTAAGTGCGGCCGAAGGCCGCCTACGCCGGAAGGTGTTCTCTGCAAAAGGTGTTCAGCCCCCTTTCTTTGGCAACACAGAAGAGAATTCTGCTTAGTGAGGGTTATAATCCCTAAGTGCGGCCGAACGCCGCCTACGCAGAAAGGTGTTCAGCCTCCTTTCTTTAGCCACACAGAAGAGAATTCTACGTAGTGAGGGTTATAATCCCTAAGTGCGGCCGAAGGCCGCCTACGCAGAAAGGTGTTCAGCCCCCTTTCTTTGGCAACACAGAAGAGAATTCTACGTAGTGAGGGTTATAATCCCTAAGTGCGGCCGAAGGCCGCCTACGCAGAAAGGTGTTCTCTGCAAAAGGTGTTCAGCCCCCTTTCTTTGGCAACACAGAAGAGAATTCTACGTAGTGAGGGTTATAATCGCCTAAGTGCGGCCGAAGGCCGCCTACGCAAAAAGAAGTTCTGCGATAAAATACTATCATATTACTATTACTACAACATTTCTATCTGTCGCGTTTTTCTTAATTTCACAATATTTTTAGTTAATTTTTTTTCCTTAATTTTTTGTTAGTTAATTTTTTTTTTTCAAATCGCCTGATAACCAACTTGGGATAATTTCTTGTATTTAAAAATCCCACGGTTTTCGTTAGTTGGGTTATATTCCACTTCAAACTGCTCAGTTTGCCTCGGAAAATGCCGTTTTTACCCCATTTTCAAACGGTTCCCTAGGGGTCTGTGGGAGGTCCCCAAGGGGGGGTGGGGCTTTTCGTAAAGTGGCGACTGTCCCCTTTCAAATGAGGGGGGTTTGGGGGCCACGCCCCCTCCCCCACCGCTCCCACCCCAAAAACGATGGGCCAATAACTAAACATTTCCCGAAAAACCCTCCTTGGTATCTCTGCATCTGTAAACTTTTTATGGGAAGATGTATGAAAATTCAACTTGCTATAATTTCATATGCTTAACATTATCACAACAGTATGTTTACAGTATCTCCCCATAATTTTTCATATGAAAAAATGCATCCCATTCGATATCATTGAATTCCTCATTAGAACGTGTAGTCCCTCTATTTTAGCATATCAACAGTTCATATGGCTTCATACCATGTAAATGCACCATTATGGGTTTGGACACCGAAAATCATTGTACAAATAACTAAACCGGACCCAAGTGTCTCGATAAGGGGCAACAAAGATTATTTTTTGCTCGCTTATATAAAACATTGGATAAAAATATACGTATATGCGAAAGGCAAATTCATCTGTTTAAATAAACACCACTAATATTTCCTGCAAACACATCCCATATAACGGTAATTTAGAGAAATACAAAATCTTCGATAAATCAGTAAATATTAAAGCTAATTTATTCAAAATTGATGCTTGCAACAATTCTTTACCAAGAAATACGTTTATGGTAAAATTTTGGAAAATGGGAGTGGCACCGCCCACTTATAATCACATATATGTATATTGGTAACAGTTCTACCAATTATGTACCAAACTCGATATTTTTATTGTTTATTATTGATTGATTTATTATTGAAATCGGACTAAAATTACGGCCGCTTTTCATATAACGGTAAATTTCAGAAATGCTTGAAACTGCGATATTTCGAAATTTAAGGACGCTAATTTACTCAAAATTGATACACCCTGGATTACCATGCCGCGGTAACCTTCGGAAAGGTGAAAAAACATTTATTTAATACTTGCGCCGTGTATATATGTTCGGCTCCGCCCGAACTTAGACTTTCTTACTTGTTCGTCTAAAAATAATTGCAAAAATCAATTTTGGTGAATTATCTTAGTAGTTCTAAAATATCGCAGTTTTCGTATTTCTGGAAATTACCGTTATATGGGAAGTGGGCGCGGTTATAGTCCGATTTCGCCCACTTTCAATACCAACCTACCTTGGATTAACGGAAACCTACATACCAAATTTCGTTGAGATATCTCAATTTTTGCTCGAGTTATCGTGTACACGGACGGACGGACAGACGGACAGCGGACGACAGACAGACATGGCTCAATCGATTTCTCTTTTCATTCTGATGATTTATGTATACATTTGTCTATATCTATCTCGATTCGTTTTGGCTGTTACAAACAACCGTTATGTGAACAAAATTAATATACCCTTGTGCACAAGTGCGCTCGGGTATAAAAATGTGGCAAACAAGGAGCCACCGTACCTCCCCATAATGATAGAATACCAGAAGGTGATTCAAGAGTGGAACAAAGTCACGGAAAAAACAGAAATGGTTATCAGTAGGATTGCGAAAGACATAGGTAGGAAGGTAGCAGAAATTAAAAGCTATTTGAACGACATAAGAGAAAAATTGAACATCGCAATGTTAAACACAGGCCATACAATAATAAGCAATTTCACTAATCATGAGCACGACAATATTACAGTACAACATACAAAGTCTTTGACATCAAGGCAATAAAGAGCTTTTAGAACTATATCTTGAGAACAACAAAATAGACATTGCATTACTGTACGAAACTTGGTTAAAAACAATTCTTGCACCAGTTTAAAAAATTACACATTTGCTCACAAAAGTCGACCCCATGGAGGGGTATGAATTCAAAAGAAGCATAAAATACTAGCGATACATATCTCAACGACGCTGGAAGCTATTGGCATTCAAACTTTAAATTGTCCAAAAATATCAACATCATTGTGATATATGCGCAACCTAATATTACATGCAGGGATTTTTCTAGCGAAATCGACAAAATCCTCATCTATGCCAACACTCTCAAACATGATGTGCTAGTAGCAGGTAACTTGAACGCCAAGTCAACAACATGGGGTTGTAACTTCAGCGATGCAAAGGGACAGAATTTAGAAACAATAATAATAAACAATAACTTTAGTTGCCTAAAAACAGGGTCATACACGTTTGAGGATGGTTCACATCAGAGTTCTGCACCAGAAATAACGCTATTCAACAGCAATACGCAACTCGTTAAATGGGTATGCAAAAACATCACATAACCGGCAGTAAACATTTTCCAGTAATAATACGCATAAATAACACATCGCCCAAAACTCAGGACATTAGAAGGAAGCTACATACACGTATATCAGAAGATTTATCTAAAACTGAATTAAGTGGCAATATTACAGAAATTACAGCAAAAATCAAAAATGTAATAAACAAAAAACTGTTAAAATAAGCAACAAATTCACGCCTAAGAAATAGTGTTCGGAAGCATCGGAGAAGCTAGTCAGGATTGGAAATGCTGCCAGACAGAAATACCTAAAGATACGCACAATAGAACTGTGAGGGGTAGAGGCAAGCCGAAGCAACATTAAGGCAACACATTAAGAAAAGGAAAAAAAGGTTTTCTGAATTAATTGAACAAATTTCTACGTCGACGACTGTAAACAAATTAAAAAGGTTTGAACAAGAAAAAAGAAGGGAAATACTTCCACTGATGATCAAAATGAGCAGTTTCTAGCTACCATAACAGGTGCTAGTTGCGCCAACCTTTCAAGCGCAGTCAGAGATGGAATAAATTTAGACGCACACTTAGTTAAATTTAATTTTTCCAATTTCCTAGACATTCTAGCCACAAGAAACCCCCAGTCAGCAGCAGGATACGATCAAATATCGTATAAAACAATCCAAGGTCTAACCACTGAACAAAAAGAAGGTATTTACAAGGAGCTTTGTAGGAATTTCGAAGAAGGATGTATACCTGAGGATTGGCGTACCATTAAAATTGTACCAATTCCAAAAAAAGGCAAAGACTTATCAGACATTACCAACTATAGAGCCATTAGCCTTCTTTCCAGGGTACGAAAATAAACTCTATTGTACGTTACCATTTCGTTTCGTTTATTACTTCAACAGTTCGGTACAATACGAAAACAAAACGGCTGAGTTCACTATGGCGATAGTACACTACAGTCAAGGCGAATTTATATAAGTTGGTGTTACTAGCTCAGCTGATTTTGTGTATGTGTTTCGCCGCACGGCTTCTGATATCAAATTGAAAAATTTTGTTTGAATTTCTACACACACTCTTACAGATTTGCAGTTTATGCCGCCAAAGCAAAAACAAAATACATGTAAATTTTTGTTTTTGTACTCCTGCTATCACCTTATATTAATTCGCCTTGACTACAGTAGTCTAGTAGTTACAGACGAAACAACAAACGAAATGAATCGTGCAGAGCAAAATATATGTATGTATGTACACATATGCAATAACTCAACACAAAACGAATGGCTGCAATGAATAAAAAAAATAAAAATGTTTCTTAATTGAATTGGATATGAAAATTTACAGAAAAAAATATTTTTCACGTAATTGAAACGTTTGCATACATATAAAACGTACCCTATGGTACAATTGCCACAAAAGAAAAGCAAACGTTTCTCGTTGGGGAAAATGATAGTGAATCGTACAATTCGTTTCTGACTATGTACAAAAATGTACAAAACCACAAATGATATGATGATCGATGAGCAAATGGGAATTGTTTTGTACAGTTTATTTTCGTACTCTGCTACTTTCCACGTTATTTAAGCTGACCGAAGCACTTATAAAAACCGAAATGGACAAACACATAGATAGACGC